TCGTGGAGGGCTCAGGGAGGGCAGAGGTACTATAAACAATGTGCTCTCAGAGCCACTCACCCGCCAAGAGAATGGGTAACAGGGGGCACACCTGGAAACTCCTGGCTACTTAGTCAAAGGTAACTGCAGCCTTTGGTGTTAAGTGAGTCCCAGTCATCCAGACTTGAAGTCTAAAAGCAGAAACTAGAAGAAAAGGTAACATTGTCTACTCAACATAGCAAGTGGCTGAGTTCTACTCAGTAACCATCCTGAGTTCACTGCATGAAGAAGCATCGCATCAGATTCTTCTCTCTTCCTGGGACTGGACAAGGCAGCAAAAGCCTGTCAATCCTTTGAAACTGCCCTAAGAATAGGCTGATTTCATAGTTCATAGAAACTATAAGCCAACAGTAAAGGGATACCAGATCTGCTAATCTGGGGTAGCCTACTCAATGAGCAAAAGCACCAACATGTGTGGCAGATTGTGGAGACAATGAATTACAAAACAAGAAGCCTGCTCACTATAACGTACTGTGCAATCTGAGAAAATAAGGCACCTGCATAGGAATGATCAACAGGCGATGCAGGAAGAATGCCAACTGCCATGCACAGAGAACAAATACATGAAAATCAGGGGTCAATACCTCGTCGTCTATTCCCCCGTCCTGTCCCCCCCAACCCTGCCCCTGCTGTAATTCAAGACAGTTCTTAGCCATGTGGGCATAGAAATTTTTTATCTCTTCCTTTTCATAAAGAGCTGATTTCAGCACCCAAACAACGAATAATCAGAAGAATAGGTCTGCGTAAGAGGGGAAACCATAAAATAATGCTGACGAAAATTCTCCCTTCTGGAGAATAAAAAATGACAGAGGAATGTCACAGTCGAATGCTTTGTACCTAGTGGAGCATTAAATGTATCTTTTGACTAAGCGACAAACATTTAATCCCTTTTAACATCAGCTATCAACAGTTGTGTTTAAGGAAATGGCAAAGTAATATTTAGGAAAAAACAAACCCTAGCTCACTGTATACTCGGAAGAAGTCTCCAGATATATTCTCTCACTTGGGTGGAGTCCAAGCAGCTCACCTATAAACATTACTCGCTTGGCAAAGAAAATTCAAGAATGGGATAGTCGATACTCATCCAGGGCAGCGTGATCTTTATTTTGGTAAAAGTATGTAATTTATCACAAGCTACTCCTCAGCTAGCCGATCCCTGGAACACTGTGTAAGGTCTACAAAAAGGCATGGGATGCCACACCACCATCTAGGGCAGAGACGGTGGCCGGGACTCCCCCTGACCATGGCACCAGCCCCCCAGCTAACCAGCAGGACTCTCAATTCAGTGTAGTAACACTTACTCAGGAGCCAAAGAAATTCCAATATTCTGGTGTAGTATTCCCATAGCTAGAATGAATTTCACAGCAAATGAAACTGTAAACAATTTCCCAGCTAAGAACAGGTCATACCATTTTTAAGCTACATTTCGCTCTATAAAATACATGAACTCAGAAGCAAGTACAAAGTTAGGAGAAAAATATTAGAATGTGTTTGTTTTTATTTACGCTATTACCATATATTATGACCAATGTGGCCGTAGACGCAAAGCAGCTTTTAGAAAAACTACATTTTTTACATCTTTAGTGTCACAAAATCATATAAATCACAGTGCATGTCTTTCAAGTAATTGCTAATAAAATGCACACCAAATTCCTTAAACTATTTATAAAATAGAGAGCATATTATAACCAGAAACTTCTGTAGAAAATTCTAACTGAAACAAAAAATACTATTATTGAATGGGTCTCATAAACACAAGAATATAAATTCAAACTTCTTAGCCTGGATTCAAAACCTTTCAGAAACACATTCTAAACCATTTTTTGATTTTATTTTCTAATTCTCCTCTATAAGAATTCTGCTCAAGTTAAACTGGCCCACAAAGTCACACCCCTTTTTCTTAACATCTACTCCTGCCATTCCTCCACCCCAAAGTTCCCCACCCTCAGCCATGCCCTTGACTTTTTCTGGATTGTCAATTTCTGCCCAGCCCTCATGAAACTTCCCTGCATCTCTGACAGCTCACTGCACTGATTCCCTTACACACAGAAAACTATTTCAACAGTGATCTGTTGATTTGAATAAGCATTTCAACAACGTGGGGGCAGAAGAGGAGACTTTCAGTTGTCTAAGGTGATAAATCACTTGCCCATTCATAAAACAGTATTTTTTGAGCTTCTACTATGTACAAGATACAATGTCAGGGTCCCTAAAAAACGCTGACGTGCAACTAACATGATCTACTTTCAAGAAGCTTTGAGTCTGGTTGGGAAAATAAGACCAACCCCCCAAGTCATCATAATGAATACAAGCTAGGCAATTATAAACACTCCACTACGGTTTCTGCTAAAGGAGGGTGGGATTACTTAGTGCAACTGGGGCGGGGGTGGGGGGAGTTGCACAGAGAAGAACTCTAGGAGGAAATGGCAGTTGGATGGACTAGAAAGAAGACATTATGTCCTTAATAAGCGTTAACGAAGGCAAGGAGTGGGCAGAGCTTGGGAAGTTAATGGATGAAGCAAGGAGTGATGCTTCAGAATATGTGTCCGTTGCAGAGAAAATGGAACAAATGGGAAAGTAATTTATATTACAAATTAATGGGGATTAAACATACTGAGAACTTCAGAGGTGAGCACACATTCATGTCCCTATATTAGGCAGTGTATTAAGTAGCCAAGAGATGTGGGAAGATTCCACAGGGTAATTATGATATCTGAGAAAAATCGTATTATTATAACTTTTTATGACGTTGATTTTTAACTGAACGCTATTCATCACAGTAAAGTCTATTTAATTAGAAGTGATAGAAAGAGCTCAAGTAACACACGTTGTTAAATATTCTTCCATGTGTTATATGAATAAGGCCTAAGTTCCACTCTATCTTCCACATCTGTGTGATGGTACCATCAATGGGCCCCACGTGAATAGCTAAACTCAAAGCAAGATCCTGAACTATTCTTCTGGAACATCCAAGAAAGATGATTTTTGTGCATCACATGAAGGGAGGCTGCATTATATTATAAGGTGTAAAATGGCAGTATGTTATATATATACAACATTATAAGGTGTAAAATGGCAGTATGTTATATATATATAATTAACACACACATATTGCCAATTACACACACACACACACACACACACAGCTGACCCTTGAAAAACACAGTTTGAACCCTGCAAGTGCACTGATATGTGGATTTTTTGGATAAATACAGTATAGTACTGTAAATGTACTGTCTCTTCCTTACGATTTCCTTAATAACATTTTCTTTTCTCTAGCTTGCTTTCTTGTAACAATACAGTGTATAATACGTATAACACACAAAATGTGTGTTAATCAACTTTATGTTATTGGTAAGGCTTCTGGTCAACAGTAGGCCATTAGTTAAGTCTTGGAGGAGTCAAAAGTTATACGTGGATTTCTGCCTGCACAGGGGGTGGGCACCCCTAATCCCCACATTGTTCAAGGGTCAACTGTTTATCATACCACACATGTGGTTAACTCAGCCAGAATCCATGAGATCATGATATTATCAAATAACTGTAGATTGGGGAAAGCTGCTGGCATTAAAAAACGGTTCCTTCTCACAACTGCAATGAAACAAGCATGCCACTATTTCAGAAACTCATTACCCTGAGATTTCTTGGAGAGGGAGGGCAGGACAACCCTGATCCTTCTAAATTTAGACTGCTTAACTATCCAGGCAGCCTCATCTGGTTCAGGTACCACATTCCCAGGCTCATCAACCTGCCCAGATCATTTTCACTCTTGAGAGTGGAAACGGGAAAGAATCGTTGTGGAGGGTCTCTCTGCTCTTTGTGGAGACACTCCCTTGTCACCGTCGGAAAACTAAGTGCCAGAGCATCAATTCGATAAGAAACAGTCATTCGATTTCAAGGAAACATCCAAGAGAAAAACAAAATGCCTGATTTTAAGATGATCTGTACACTTAGAAGCTTCTAGATGGTAAGAGAAGTGGGGATACACAGCATTGCTTTATTTTCCCTATGGTTCACTTTGAGTTAACTCTCAGCTTATGAGTCACAGTGGGCATGCCAGCCTCTTGCTGCCACATATCGACCTGGTATACAGAAACATTTTTAAGAACAGATTATCCAGAGCACCGAGCAGAAGACTTGAAGGAAGGCTCTCAAATCAGTGCAGGTGCAGTGCTCCGTCAACAAAAGGTGAGGTTCGTCTAAAACTAATGATGTAATGTATGGGGATTAACATAAGAATAAAAAAAAAAACCCAAAAACAATAACATGCAAAGCACCTGGGGGGAAAAAAAAAAAAGGTGAGGTTTTACCAGCTTACTAGAAGATCAACACCTACAAGCCCTGAGAAGATTTAGATTTTGTTTTTCTCCTCACCCCTTCTCAAGTGGTTTTAGACGTTTGCATGACTGTAACACAAGTGCAGGGAAACATGTTTGAAAGGTTACTGGAAGTGACAGATGGACCTACTTTGAAATAAAATTAAGCCTGTGGTACTACTGAAAGGAAGTCACGAAATCCAAAATTAAACCGGACAGAATGCTCTTAAGCTGTTTTGTTCTTTCTTCTTCTTCTTCTTCTTCTTCTTCTTCAAGGAAGCACCAAGAGTGGAAGACTGAAGCAAGCCCACTGTCTCTTCTCTGAATTCCCTCACCTTGGTCAATTTGGCCTGAGCTTACAACCAGTCTTCTTAACGTAATGGGGCACCCCCGGAATTTTAAACCTCCGTATATTTATTGTCGAACATCCAAATGTGTCTTCCACCGGTATCACTAAGAACACAACTCTAATCATGCAGAGATGTGACTTTAAAGATTTAAGGAAACAAAAAACCAACTATAAAGAACATACTGAACCACTAAACGTCCCACTTGGGAGGAGACGAAAAATGCATGCTTCAAAAACCCACTGTCCAACCCAGCCACCGTGGACGGCTTTGCCTGCGGTCCCCAGGAGGAGCCTACCTTATTATGCTCGTACTTGTAGGGGATCTTGAGCGTGTCCATGGCTCTGATCATAGCCTGCATGGCCGTGAAGATGTTCTGATACACCAGCTTGGTGAAGCCCCTTTTGTCTTCGTCAGAGTAGCCCGACCCGTGGATGATTCTCATCTGCTTGATAAACGTACTCTTGCCACTCTCTCCCGTCCCTGCAAGATGGACAACAGCAAAAGAGGTCATCAGACTGTGACACCTTCGCACGCTCTCCCAGACAGCCAAACCAGACACGGCGGCTTGGACACAGCATCCCCGCGCGGCCTGCTGGAGGAGCATAACTAGGAGGGTAAATGCCACCTGTAGAGAATACTCAGCAAGACTGGAGGATGAGAGTCCATTTCAGAGGCGGATGGAGCTTAAACGCACACGCGCACGCACATACATGCGCACGCACACACACACAAACACACACAAACACAACCTGTCACCTCTTTGGAAGCCACTCAGCATGGAATTTTGATAGTGATTTGTAACCATGTATCTTAGGAGAAACACAGTGAAATCAGCATCTTTTGAAGAGAATAAACACTTGATAAAGCTCTCCTCCCTGGAGAATATCTGAAAGCCTTCCAGGAGGCTGGGCTGCTGGGCAGGATTTGGATCTGGAAATGACAATGCACTTACACAAATGCTGTTCGGAGAGCAGTAAGAGAAAAATGGCTCGAAATTTCTAGACATTTTCTTTCACTTTAAAATGGTACATAGATATGGAGAGCACAGCATCTAGATAAGAATCAGGAATTTTCTGGACAGCAAGGATCCACTGTATGTGGCTGAGTTATTTCAAGGAATCGCCTAATTCAGAGAAGTCACAGTGACTCGCCTTCCTTCTGCCCATTCTTGACTGATAGCATGAGATAGAAATTTACTGTTACTGGATTTTTCTCTTCCATGCTCTTATTTTTCCCCTTTTCAACACGCCTTTTTCTGTTACCATAAGCCTGCGGCCAATCCCTAACAAACCTACCAATGGCCACGGGAGGAAGAAAAGACAGAAAGGTGGGATTCTATCACTGAATGACAACATATTTCTTCCACAACGAATCTAAAACTATGAATGTAAAAACTTCATTTTTCCAAATGGAGGTGGCTTCTTCTGTACGTCACTTCATTTCTGAACATTTTTCACTCACTTTCAGGTTTCCTTGAGATTTCCAAAACAATAACTATCTCTGTTATCAATAATCCTAACAGTGTAGGAAAATGGTTATCAATAACTCTAACAGTGTAGAAAAACACTGAAAGTACCTATTTAGATATTAAACATGGAAGAATAAAATATTAAAACACAGAACGGCTAGCATGTCTTTATTGCCTTTTGCGACCTACTAGGTGCTGAAAAACACAAAAGGAAAACTGAAAACTAGGAATACAGCATGTGTCCTAATTTCATTTTGTTTTTCTAGGGGTTAGATTTCATTTTCATCTTTATAAACAATCATGAAAGATTCAGATAAGTATTACGGTTTTCACAGAAGCAATCTTAAATGACTACAGATGTCCGGGTAAACACAGAAGCCTTGCCCAGTTACAGAGGAAGAGGATTTCTAGCTCCTCGGTCCTGGGTCAGCAACTCCTTTATCATTTTCATATGACTTTTAATAAGTGATCTGGAGTCCTTGAACTATAAAGTTAACACTGCAATGTGAATGCCATCAACCCATTTTAACGAGCTTCATCCCAAGAGTTTAAAACAACTATTTTAGGGGCACCTGGGTGGCTCAGATGGTTAAGCATCTGCCTTCGGCTCAGGTCATGATCCCAGGTGCTGGGATCCAGTCCCGTGTTGGGCTCCCGGCTCAGTGGGGAGCCCGCTTCTCCCTCTCCCTCTGCCTCTCCCCTTGCTTGTGCTCTGTCTCTCTCTCTCTCAAATGAATAAATAAAATCTTTTAAATAAAAAATAAATAAAACAACTATTTTATAATCTCAACCATGAATATGGGGGGGACCCAAAGTATCTAAAAAGTAGCACCTCTTATAGAAATAAAGCAATGAAACTGATCCTCATTATCGATCCACAATGTATAGAGAACAACAGGTATCTTTACTCTCCCAAGCATTTCAAAGTATGCAGGAAAAAAATCCAGATTGCTTCTTTATTATCCCTCTCCCAGGGGCAATGGCTTGCTCCGAGGGCCCAACCATAGACATAATCATCAAATCACAATCCCTGCTAGTTTTTTCCACAACAAAAACAAGAAGAAATCTTAATATGTGAGGTTAATGGCACGAGAAGAAAAGGAAAGAGAATCAGACCATAGGGCCTCTTCCTCCTGGCAATCAGAGCAGCTTTTATATACTCATTTGGGTGAGTATAAAATCTAAAACATAAAAATAAGAAAGTCGCAGGCAAATAAACTACACTGGCTTTTGTTTCACTTCAGTCTCGCCAGGCAAGAGCAGTCAACACTTGGTACCTCTTTGGATCGAGCCACCTGGGCATCACGCTAATGAAGAGTCCAAACAGAGCCAGAATGCGGGACCAATGAATGAATGTGGGCAAAGAAAGCGGAAAGAAAAAAGAATCCAAAAATCAACTCCAAAGTAAGACATGTTCCTATTGGCCCAGACACACCCAGGGATCCTGTCTCTCCATTCTCTTGTCTTGCACAGTGCCCCAGGAGGCTGATCCATAAGGCTTTCACATCAACAGCTCCCTTGCCCGCATCTTTGCCTCGGGTTTAGCACGTAGAAGACACGAGGAGGAGACCAGAGAGCAGGAAAATGAGGAAGGGGAATTTTCCCACAGCCTGCTCCCTGCAAAGGCACCATAGATATGCTGTGTCCGCTCCTGCTGGGTGCCCCCCGCCCCATGCAGCTACTCTGTCTGGGTTCCTGTGACCGCTCTCTCCCCTTGCCAGGCTAGTGCCAGCCCCTAATGACCTCCTCCCCTTCTAGAACTCCCCTCAGCCACCCAGCTGGAGTGTGCCACAGGTTTCCTGCTGGGACCCAACTTTTAACCATTTAATCTAATTTTGAGTTTCTGAATACTGCTTCAATTAGTGGGGACCCATTTTGAATCTCTGTGCCATCTTCCAACTGACTGGCCATCCCTCCCAGATAAATTTCACCCATGAACTTAGTGCTCACCCTTTGACGTTACTATATAAATACAGCAAAGTCAGAATGAAGGCAGCACGCCATGTAGGAGAAAGTCTGTGTGACTTTCAGATGCTGTAGGCAGAAGCTAAAAGTAGTCAACTGGTGTTATTATTCTATACTAAGATTTAGCCCCCCAACAAAAATATGGACTGAAAACCTCAACAGAGCAAAAACTTCAGCTTCTTTGTTCCACTGAAAGAGTTCTATCATGGAGACAAATGAACTATTCTTAAATGTGTAAGCCAAATATCATATTGTTCTCCTATTTTTATAGACTTATACAACATTCTCAAGATTTGAAATGGACATTTTAACAATCTACTCATGATGAATATGAAAAAAAAATATTTGGTACAACTAAGAAAAAAAAAACAGCTGTTCTTGAATTCTGTAAAATGGTGTTGCTTCCTAAGGCCACATGAAAAGTCTGAGAGACTTCACAATTCTTTGTATCTGAATGAGAGAAAGCAGATTTTTCTGCTAATAGATTCTCTGTGAATCCAGCAACGGCTAAACTCTTTTCACAGCACAGGGCATAAGTAACTCTTGACCTAGCTCAAGAAATACACATCTACTGTTTCCAAAACCATTGATAAGACCTAGCAGTGAGCACTTATATGAAAGCGGGGGAGGCTCTCGTTTTTGCTAATTTGAATATATCTCCAAACAAGTCACTTAACAACTTCAAGCACATCAACACACACAAGGGTTTGCACCCCACAACACTGTTTCTTCTCTTTTAATGGGCTCTATAAATATGGCTAAAAATTTTCCCCAGAAAAGTTGTTCTACCTTTGGGTAGGTACTCTGCCTTTTCTTAGCGAGCCAGCTCCTCAAAACACCCAGAAATGAGATTCTGCAAGAATCATGCTATTAAAGTAAGGGCACACATGGGGTGCCTGGCTGGCTCAGTCAGTAGAGCATGCACCTGTTGATCTTGGGTTGTGAGTTCGAGCCCCACACTGGGTGTAGAGATTACTTAAAAATAACATCTTAAAAAAAAGTGGGGGAGGGATAGCATCCAGCATGTATAACTGGCTTTGAGGGATACTTAGGTTTTTTTCTTCCCTACCCATCAGATCAGGATAAAGCACAGAGAGGAGCAATCCCCACTTCACCTCACATGTCTTTCCATCAGAGCAAAATCAAATATGAGTTTCACATCCCGTTGTGGAAGGCATCACTTTGTAAGTCAGAACACAGCGTTACCAACCGCACACACAACGACCTGACGGCTCCATTTTAGGCTTTTACAAGATCTTTTCAACACAAGAGGATTTCCACACACGGCTTCCGCCACAAACCCGTATCTACTCTCTGTATCCTACTCATACGAAGCATCTATATGACGAAACTGATTATCCTGCCCATCTGCACAATGAAAGCTGTAAACCATTCTGTCCAATTCATCTCTAAAGGCAGGAGAGTTTTTCTCACCCCTCATCACCCACCCTCCTGAAACGGCAGTTTTACATGCAGTAATACATCAACTTCTTAATGGCAATGGATTATCATCTACTGTTGAAAGCAGTCACGGATTCATTGGTTCCTTCCCTCATGCTTAAGTTGGCTTCTTGGATCATACTTTTATCAAAAGAGCTGCAAAGCACAATCCACGTACATACAAGAGTTGCTCAGTGCCCTCAAAATGTCAGTGACTACTGTCACTGCTCTGAAAAGGAACGGGTGTCCCCGACTGCCATACACTGGCCCTGGAAAACAATCAATGAACGCTGCACTATCAGGAACTTGAAGGATCCTCATGCTTCATTCCCTTCACCCTGAAAAAAAGGCAGAAAATATGCCTTCTTGGGGCCTCTTACAGGCGGAGGGAGACCCACACCACGGCCACTTATTTTTTTAGGCTCCCGGGAAAAAGAAGAAATGCCAAAACTGAGTTATAAAAACTGTGGTATTTAAAGCTGTACAATGAATATATTCGTTTCATCCTGCCAGTGCCTTTCATGACTGTATTTGGAGATATTGTCAAGCCATCAGAAATCTACATCTGAAGCCTTTAATTAATGTGAAGGCTCAGGCCAAATGCCCC